TTGCTATTTTCGTTGTCTGTTTGGTTATGTCGTCGAACCGCTTTCAAAAATATTGTTTATTCTTACACTGTTATGAGTACGATGAGTGAATCTGTATCAACAATATTGTAGTGCAATTCTTAGGATAGACGTGGCCATACCATGTCATCATGTGTACTGACATTCCATGTCATCAGTAGATGTGTACTGACATTCCATGTCATCAGTAGATGTGTACTGACATTCCATGTCATCAGTAGACGTGTACTGACATTCCATGTCATCAGTAGACGTGTACTGACATTCCATGTCATCAGTAGATGTGTACTGAAATCATGTCATCAGTAGATGTGTACTGACATCCCATGTCATCAGTAGATGTGTAATGACATTCCATGTCATCAGTAGATGTGTACTGACATGCCACGCCATGACAAGCATGCAGTTTATATACTGTAACATTATATTACAACCATACGTACACGTATGTTGTATGAGTTGATTCTGTAACCCATATAATATATTAAGCAAATTTGTTGATTAATTACCTTGACTACCTGTAAGCAGTTTCCAATTGCCGAGTCGAAGAGCTGATTTAATTCTGACATCGAAATGTTCATTGTCTAGCCATGGCTCTTCATAGTGGACATGTTTCACTTTTCTGTTTACGTTGAGGTTTATTAGTACATCGTTTCTTTCAGTCTGGCGGTTCTCACTGATGAAGATAATGAACAATAATTTACACACATAACAAATTTATTATTGAAATTTATACTACATATCAAACGCATTCGAAATACAAATGAGTTTACCGGGATTGAATGGCATCAGTCGCCCAGGCTATGTTGCTCTACAGTGAGACCACAGTCACTCTCCTAGTAGAGTGACTGTGGAGAGACACACCACTAATGTACAAGTTTCACTAAGTAACAGGGATTGTCTGTTGAATTGCCTTGTCGCCAGTAGGTGGTTAATTGTTCTGTGTGTGTATTGAGCTTGTATATTCGGTGACCCTACATTAGTAGTTTGTGTAACAATAAACTTCAGACATGAGCCGGAGTACAACATACAATATTTTCCAAATTGATGTACGAGAATGTTGGCGTTTATTTGTTTATTCGCCCGTGGTAACAAAAGTCAATTTGTCATCTTCCACAAATTAAATTAAATTAAATTTTTCATATTTCTTTGATGAAGACCTGAACTCGGTGGAAAATTACGCAAATCTTGTCAAAAATTTGAAAAGAACTGCATAAATTTATTCAAAATTTTGCACCAAAATATGGATGAGTGAAATATTTCAACAATTATCGCTGACCCACATTGAAAACTGCCTTAATAGTAAATTAAGGAAGCTGTACCTGGTATTCTTAGAGTGGTTTATGTAGGAAATGAATTGAACAACTAAAAACAAAAGTGCAGTAAATAGATAAAGCTGCTCGGACCAATAAATACGATATGTAATAGATAATATTTGATAACTTTGGCGGGTCTCGTCGAGAAGAAAACCATATCCCCCTTTCGAACTAAAAACACAGGGAAAACTATTTAACTTATTTATTGTGCTTACCACGTAGTACGCGAATACTTGTTTTATTGTGGAATATTTTAATGATTTTATTGTGTGGTTGTTTTTGCGTGTCAGTATTCTTGGTACTCGTTGATCTGCGCAACGGTCAAAGTCGCCACCTTTGTAAATATGAGACCCATGTATCTCGCGCATGCGTGGTGCGACTACTACCGCCCTTTAACATTTTCTTATATGCTACGGAGCCATTGCCTGAAACGTTTAGCTGTTACGAATACTAGTAGTTACTAAAACAGCGATTACTTAATATTGTATATTTTATACACCTGTAACAAAGTAGACGAGTCCATTTTTAAACATGCATATGACGTCACTCACGCACATGCTTACCTTATAGTATTCCACTGATTAACGCCGTCTAATGTCATTGATTTAATGACGTCACTATAAACACCAGCCACATGTAACATTGTAGGAAACCAGTCAGTCACGTGCATGAGTTGGTGATTCGATGTTCCTCTCACGTGGTCAGCAAGAAAAGGACTTGTAACGAATGCTACACCCCTTACGCCACCTTCCCAGAGCGATGCTTTTGAACCTTTGAGGGGCCAGTTGTTTCCACTTATCTTAGCTCCGCCATTGTCTGACAACAAATCAGAATATTCATATAGTCACCATTCGTTAGAATTGCATTTTAAAATTTGAATAAAAATTCTCTAAATATTGCTAAAAGTAGTCAGTGTATTTATTATAGGTGTTGCATGTATGTTTAAATTAAAAACGAAATTTGATACTATATCCGTATAACTCTTTGAGCGCCAAAGTCAACTTCAGTCGCCATTATTTATAGTCTTCTCTTTTCCACATAAAATGTTGACGACAATTTTTAAATGGTTTGATCAAAAATTAAAAGCATTGTCTTATTTAGTCTGTTCACTTCAAAAGTAAGACTAAATTCGGTGAAAATTACAGAAAATGTGAACAGATTTTCACCAATTTGAGCGGGAACACTTACCCGTTGACACTATCAAAACAGTGTTGTTCCATAGGCCGGCTTCTCTCAATTGGTCCACGACGTTACCAATCGCATCATCCATACATGTAACCATGGCAGCATACACACGTCTGTCTGGATCTTCTATATTAGAGTACATGTCAATGTATTTGCGTGGTGCTTGTAGGGGTAAATGGGCAGCTTGGAAAGCTAAGTACATAAACATCGGCTGAAATGAAAATATATATATATATTTGCATATGTTTTATAATATATTTTATTTATAATATTAGTAGGCAATTACTGATGTCCTGTTATTATCTGTGAATATGTATAATCAAAGAGTAACACCGTCTTGAAAATATTAATTTAAAAGAACAAGAAGTCTTGTTTCTGGAATGAAACGTTCCTGGACGTTCAGATATATCCAAGCAAGTATGTTCGCACACTAAGTTTTTCAGTGTATTTTAGTTCCTGTATCTCAATAACTTATCATTTTATTTAAGTAACAATTGATGATATTGATGATACAGTTCTTATTTAAGGTGGAGCCAGACCATGAATATTTAAAAACATTCGTGCGCACAAGATATCGCCAGTACATGTGTAGCAAATATCGCAAATTTCATAATTTTATTGTGTAATTGTATTTTATTTCAATTTATTTATTTAATTACAAAATATCTATACATATCTGCATATTTTTAAATGAGAAAAAAAACCATGATTTACTAGAAATGCTGAAATCATTGACTCATTGAAACATAACTAGATTAGCGACCATCACGGTGAAGGCCGAAACTCCCAGAAAACTGTACTCTGGGATATTGTAAACTGAGAACGGACTTCTCAAGGTAGAGTGAACCAGGTGAGTATTGGTCACCAAATCCAGGAAGAGAATAACGCACTGGAGAGGAGCACTTGTAACTAAAGATGTTTATTGCTCAACTGCTAGGCCTGGAACTGAGCCCAGGTACTCAGGAGATGTTCCATACAATGTATCAATATCATTATACAAATAACTAAACTTCATATAGCCTCAAATCATTACATTTATAAAAATGTAAAAAATGGGAATGGCAGTTTAAACAAAAAACAATAGAACTTCACACAAAAATTAAAACAAAGCCAGAATAAAAATTGAACATTGGAAACTAAAACTAAAACATTTTTAGCTCGACACCAATTTACATCCGCAGGCTAATGTTGATTTGACATCGTATTAACGTGTTGGCAGTAAGTAATATTTAATTATGCAGCTTGTGTATTCAAGTGTCAGAAGTAATCGAAATATTTATGTATTTACCTTGCTGGCATCATGATTTCTTATAACATTCGTTGCCTCTCTTGCATAAAGATCTGTGGAGTAATGTCCCTGGTATTCCTGTGCAATACTGATATTGTTTCTGTATAATTCCCACCAGTGCGTGTTCTTGTGTGTATAGTGATCTGCACAACCTCCAATGATGCCTTAAAATGTATTTAACATTCATCTTAGCTTGACAGTGGGATATGTAACATATTGTCAAAACAACGTGTAATTTTAAAAACAGTGTAAAAGTATCGTATCGAATCACAACACAGCGCTTCGCTTCATTTCACAGCGCAACGTATCGCATCACTTCACAACAACACAACGCAACACACCGCATCGCATCACATCACATCACATCGCTTCGCTTCACCTCACTTAATTTCACAGCCGTAACGCATCGCATCACTTCACTTCACTTCACAACAACACAACGTAACACACCGAATCGCATCACATCGCTTCGCCGCTTCACCTCACTTAATTTCTCAGCCGTAACGCATCGCATCGCACCACATCGCATCACTTCACTTCAAACATCACAACGCAACGCATCGCATCATATCTCACATTGCATCACTTCACTTCACAACAACACACCGCATCGCATCACATCACATCAAATGCACCGCATCACATCCCGTGACCATATCACACCAAACGTGAGGATATAGACTTCACGTATGCAAGAAGTGTTTCACAATGTGATCAACTATGTTGTATTTCACCCATTAACATTGCGATAAAGACTTTCCGTTTCAAATTCTTTCGTTTTTATGCAAGTAAAATTCAAGACAAATAAAATTATGAAAATTATTCATGGGTGCACAGTGAGTATATTTCGTTATGAATTATTCTTAATATACATTTCATGTTAAACAGTGAGTTTAACATAACAAGTCTCAATGAATTCTCTGAGTATAACATGTTGTGTTTAGAGCTTCCACGGGAAGAACATTTGCAATATAATATGTACACACTTACCAAAGAACGTATCAAATCCCCGATTATTGGGAAGACAAGCTTTTTTGTAGTAACCAACGTGCCATTTACCGATGGCGTGAGTGCTGTAATTTTTCAATTTGAGCTCTTGTGCAATCGTTGCTTCATTGACGGGTAAACACTTTCTCTCGAATGGCATGATTATTCCACCTTCCATCCCCAGATGAATCTGTTTTGGATCAAGTTGAACAGATATATTGTGATAATTGGCATCTATTCATTCATCAGCTTATTTGATTAGACACAAATAAATCCAAACTTATAATTCAAAATACGATTAGAAAGGTTAAAATTAGTGCAGCATTGCAATTCATCATCGATTCTGACGTTGTTTCTATTGTAAAAAGTTCATTGGAATCTGTGTCTTGGTGGTCATGCGATAAACGTGTTTTTTTTTAGCATCGAAGTAAAAAACCTTACCATGTGCTTGCCAGTTAGAAACATTCCTCTGCTTGGACTGCATAAGTGAGCAACATAATAATTCTCTAACTTGGTTCCTTCTTTGGCAAGTGTGTCCATGTGTGGAGTAGATATTGACGAACCATGGTAACCAACATCGTTCCAACCAACATCATCGATCATGATAAAAACTATATTTGGAGGGTTGTTGTTATTATGGCAACAGACACATGCCCAACATGTGACGAAAATTGCCACTAAATTTGAAGCAGGCCACATTGTTTCACAAGTCTGGAATGACGAACTGTCGAGTGTACACGGACGTTTTATCATATATATTCTACAAAACTCGTATTATTGAATGAGTATCGGCTTTATATATGCGTATAAGCATGAATGTGACGCCCAAACCGGTAAGCTAATTGATCGTACTGGGCAGAATTTGACAGTATCTTTATAATCTTTATTGGAGCTCCGTGTACCATGTGTTAAATGTCAGATCAGAATGTTTAAGGTAGAGATGCAGTTTATTTGTGAATTTCAATCAAAAATTGTTTTTTTACGATTTTTATCTAAAGAACATTCTGTGAAAATTTGACCAATGAATTCTTATTGGAACATCGTTAAAATTGCTGGTTATTTTCTGGTTAAAAATATAAAAAACACTCACACCTGAGAATTACTGTAAAAAACATTTATTTTCACTGACATTTAATCTCACTACTTTGATGTTTTGAGAATATTCACTGTGTTTTAATTTCATGATTTTGTCAAGGAAATAATGAGTTTTATTGTTATTTTACATATATTTACATAGATTCGATTCAGTGGATTTTACTTATCAGCAAAACTACATGCATTTACAGTTGCCTGTTTTTATTGCGATGTGATTTAATGAGATTGTCATATGCGCATAGGATTGCAAAATATGCCACCAGTTTACTTCTATGAAATACTGTTAGACATGCCTTTGGAGGCCTTGCATATAGAATGCCAATATCGAACATAGTATTACTTGGCTTTGTTATGACATTGATACGTGACATAAAGTACTCCGCTGTTTAGCGCTGAAGTCTCGCATTGTTGGTGGGATTAACCTGCATACATATAAGTAAGAAAACGAACAATGCAAAAAAAAAAAAAAAAAACGGCAGACAAGTACAATGCAGTAAATAAAGGGATTACAGTTTGGACGACATTGATATTGACGTTACGCATGAATAAGCTTCAGAGCATGGTTGGACCTAGACTGGCCCAGCCGTGGTGATTTTCTTTTCAGTTGAATGATGATAATAATAATAAAAAAATTGAAAAAAATAGTTTTGCGAAAGGTTACAGGGGATTACGCGTTAACACCTATATTTCGCTATTTTTTTTATTTAATTTTAAAAAGAAATAAATCGCCCAGACTGTGCCAGTCTAGGTTGGATTTTAAATAAGTGAAACAACGCACACATTTGGTATTATGATCGCGGTAATGAATTTATGCACGGGGAGCCATCAATTTAAAAAAATAATATTGGTAAATGTTTAATTTTGCCAGAAACACAGGCTTGGAAACTGATATATCTGAATTATCTGGACATGAACTTATAAAGAGGGGGGCAAGGGGGTAGCTGGTACAGTTTTACGGGAAATAAAAAGGGCTTTTTACAATTTACAAGGAAAAAAGACGTTTTTACAGTTTCCAGTGAAAATTTAATTCTGCAGTGAATTGTGTCATCTAATCGTTTTACAGTTTCGAAAATGTAATTTCCCTGGATCATTCTTTACGACTTTTTTATTTGAATGTAAATTCTTGTACGTACCGAGAAAAATGACACATTTTTACAGTGTACGAAAAAACATTTGATTGACTACGTTGTACGTCTAGCCTGTGATTACAGAAATACGGAATTTATTTTTTCGATTTACGTTGTACGAAAAAAAAATATTGCAATTACGTTGAACGAAAATAACCCTTGTCCCCCTCTATAAACACACATTGCATCGTACTGACGTCACACAACCAGGATGACACGCGACCCGTTTATAAAAACAGTCCTACGCAATAACTCCTACCTACGTCAGATTCAACCATGTTGATAACTTTTAAGTCAAGCAATATGAATTCCGTGCATATAACGTACAAACGGTTATTCATAGATTGAAACAATATTTGAACAGCGATTTTCAAAACTCTGAAATAAATTTGAAATACCACATGAACATTAGAGAAATAATAACTGCCATAATAAACTGTGTACGTATTCTACTGTTTTTGATCACACTATAAACACGACAGGATTATTCCCAAATCTGGCCTGAAAAAGTTAATGCAAGTCTAGAAATAACAGTCACAATATACAAATTACGTCAATATAATGAACAGAAACAGCGAATATGATTTTATTTTGAATAGTTTTGTAAGAGAGTGTTTATTTATAAAACGTTGACGCCGAGTGTGACGGACGCTCATACAATACACTATGAGCAAGATGCGAAGAGCTATAAATAACGCATTGAAATTCATAAATGCACTTCGCAACGTGCCACTCAGTATAAGTCCCGTCGCATCTTTGACTGTAATCCTCGCACAGTTGTTGAAAAGGATTATGTTGAACGTCACTCAGATTATATGAGAGTAATTGGAAGTGTCAAATTTACAAAAATGCACTCGGTCGATGAAAAGTATCACATAACTATGTAATTTAAATATTGTCCATGCTTCATACATTACGTAACCAGAATACTAATGTTAACCTGTAGTATTAATGCAATATGGCCACAGTAAGAAAATGTGAATAACAAGTTATTTTTCCTACCTGTTATGTGTTCAAGCTATATGAAATGGTTCAGTCATCCTTTAAACCATTTTTTGTATGTGTATTTGTACTTCAAAGGGCTGATGTATTTTAGCGAATGACTTATCTTTGTTTTCATGATTATATTTTTGAGTTTATTAGCTATCTTTTAGCTTTTATCGGAATGGAAGCTTATTTTACCAAATGCTATAAGTCATGACACATTTAAGTCAACATTGGGAATGCAATACCAACAGCAGTTACACAGTACCCGAAACAACGACGGATCATTGTTTAAATACTTATTTGACAAACTATTCGATATATTGATATGCGACGTTATGTTACGTTGTGTTGTGTTGTGGTGTTGCGTTGTGTTGCGTTGCGTTGTATTGCGTTACGGTATGTTGCATTGTGTTGCGTTGCGTTGCGGTATGTTGCGTTGCGGTATGTTGCGTTGTGTTCTGGTGTTGCGTTGCGCTATGTTGCGTTGCGGTAAGTTGCGTTGTGTTGCGCTATGTTGCGTTATGTTGCGCTGCGTTATGTTGCGTTGTGTTGCGTTGCGTTGTGTTGCGCTGCGTTGCGGTATGTTGCGTTGCGTTGTGCTGCGTATCGTTGCGGTATGTTGCGTTGTGGTATGTTGCGTTGTGTTGCATTGTGGTATGTTGCGTTGTGTTGTGTTGCGTTGCGGTATGTTGCGTTGTGTTGCGGTATGTTGCGTTTCGGTATGTTGCGTTGCGGTATGTTACGTTGTGTTGTGTTACGTTGTTTTGCGTTGCGTTGCGTTGTGCTGCGTTACGGTATGTTGCGTTCTGTTATGTTATGTTGCGTTGCGTTACGTTGTGGTATGTTGCGTTGCGCTGTGTTGTGTTGCGTTATGTTGATTTGCGTTGCGGTACACTACGCCATGCTTCGTTACGTTAAATTGTGTTATGCTGGGAAGTTTTTAAAGTTGGGTTACATTCAAAATACAAACATTTGAAGTTAGAAATTATTATTTATTTCAGTATTATAAGTACGCCCAGACTTAAAATACACAGGTAAAGAAAATAATAAAGTGACAGTGCTTAAATCAACACTAAACACATATTTGAAAAGTAACGACGTGTGTGGTTATATCCTGACTATTTATTCTTATTTGCTATAAAGTTCCGTGTGAGAAAATCGACTAAGATATTATTAATGGTTATAGAAAAAATCCCGAGTTGTACGCCCTCAAGCATAGTGGGAAAGCTTAGATGGTTGCGGGATACGTTATATTCAAATATCCTTGTATAATGAATAAATAAACAAAAATATAAAACGCTCGCATTAAATGTGTGTAACAAACCCAAAGTGTCTGGTTTGCGGAAATGTTCAAATGACGTCCGCCCTCTACGGTGCGTCAGTGAGTGAAACTGCGTTTATGTCTCGGTAGTGGAAAAAAATTAAGATAATTTTCAGGATAAAGAAGTGCTCTGAAAGTAAAGTTCGACACTAGATGTGTTATTTTTTGTCTCACTCTCGGTAAAAGAGCGCTTTGAGATATACGTTTCTCGTGATTTATATACAATTTATTTACATTTAATATACGAACGACGGGGGGGGGGGGGGTGTCTGTCACATTATTCCAGTACTGCGTGGCTGATCCCACTGCTGTTCACACCTGAACCTGTTCAAGATTTACGATCACTTTTTTTTTTCAAATTGTTCAAGTAGATAAGTGTTGAGTTTCTATTTTACTAATGTATCAGACACGTCTAATTGACCGTATGTTAGTTGGAAAGTTAGGGGGTACTTCTTAACAGCTCACAACATAGCAAACCTTCTGTCGCCTCTGAACTACGCATCAGGGGAGAAGCAAATTGTGTTTATGTGTTAATATCTATTTCATGTGTTAGGCTGTAAACTCCAGTGTTCTATTGGTCCATGAGTTTTTGTAAGTTCACTTTTTGCATTTGCGCATGCGTGCATAATAAATTAGGGAATTTTCCTGTATTCCTTTAACCGTCAAGATGGCTCGTGTTATTGTTTTTGTATAGTATCCTCTTCTTATTTTCCCCGTCGACGCGAGTAACTTCGTGAATAATCAAGGATGAGTAGCTCAACATCATGAGCACTCTGTCAGTCTGTATTAGATATCTTCATTTAGAGAAGCATCTTTATGTGAAGGCAATGCGGTGGCATTATATTGATTAAATACTGAGACAGATAGAATACACTTAACTGTAGTTGGTATACAGGTGCGACGAAATACTGATCGATTCCCATCAAGATTGTTTGGTTGTACCAGTGCGCCCTCTATGACACAAATGTTCATTTTTTTTAATCTCTACGTCCTGTTTACTGTAAAATAATGGCTTCTCTCTTGGTCGTTATTATCAGATTCAGTTTAAATATGGGATAGTCCACTTTAATATATGT